GTCCAGCCCTGCTTGCGCCGTGACTTCCACGTTCGCTTTGCATGGGGCCCGATATATTACATTACAGTAACCCATCGGTTTTGCTTGAGTCTCCTGCGCCCCATCCATTGTGACATCGAGCCAGCACACCTCGTGAATAATTGGTGGGACAGAGTAGCAGGAGAGTGAGCGCACACCTGGGCCGCCGTCGGGCGTTTTTCCAGATTGCGAATGAGCTTTTTTTGTTTCAGGTGGACGTTATTCTTTTTTCTTGTGCAACCCAACCCAGGACAAAAGGAGTACCGGTTGCAGCCGAAACAACCGGCTCCAGAACGAACGATCCTATTGTCTCACCAAGAGTGAGGATCGACTCCCTTTTCCTTCTCAACCATGAATCCCCGTTACCCTGTCACATTCATGACCATGATTCACACCGCAGTCACGGGGTGACCGTGAAGAGGAACAGCCTGAAAATGATTGAGCCATTTGGAGACGCCACACTATGGCTTTATTACGGTAATTTTCTTGTATCATAGGAATACCGGTATCGAGGTTATCCTTTAGGGAGGGTATCATAGAGTGAGCGCTCATATAGGTGTACGGTTAGTGCCTTACCCTAGGCACCTTGTAATCCAACCATTGGTGGCCTTTTTAGGGCCACTGTGGACTTTTTTCCTTTTCTTTGGATCGGACACATCGCGCATCGTGTGTTGTGCACCTTCAAAATAGGGGAAACCCGGCCCCCTCATCGTAGCCAAGCCATGGTATCGTACTATACCGGTATCCAATATCAGCATTTGCGCACGCAACTCAATCTGTATGGTCGGGGAGGAGATACAGCAGGGGGAGAACTCTTCCCTCGTCAATCATACTTGTAAGAGTGATATGCCTCTCAGGAAGGCCACCATGTGCATTGGATAGCCTTTCGGGTGGCGAGATATACTCGAGATACACATCTCGGATCTGGAGAATACCGTGTGAGGGCTGACATCTGCTGCCGGTATGGGTATTTTGCGGGCACTTCCGGCACTTGAACAACGACACGGCAGAGATGCCGTAGACCATGTACTCGAGTATTCGTGCAGCACTCAAGTACCACTGAAGGGGTTTTTGAAGAACCCTAACTTACCTACCACTCCTACCCGATGGTAACCACAACCTCTCTCCCCTAGCAAACAAGCAAGTACGAGTATTTCTCTTGATGATCTCTGTGAAATGGGAGAAACCCTGAATGAAGTCTTTGTTGTTCGCGGCGTTGTTCAGATAGGTTGCGGTTAGGCTGTCGGATGCATCAGGTCTAATACCGTATGATCCTTTTTCCATCGCCAGGTCTTGGGTGCTGTCACACACCAGGATGGCGGACGGAATTTTAACCCGATCTTGGCAGTTATTTCCTGCCCAGGAAGTCAATGCGCTTACCGACATTTGAACAACAGCTCGCCGATCCTTTGGACAGTTTATTGGGGACGGGGCTTGGTCGTGTCTGACGTTGTCGTGTTTCCCGAGCTAGTGCGGAAGTACAGTGTCATAACATCTCCTCACGGGCCGAGCAATTGGCTTGTTCCGGTACGAGGGCTGTTGCGTCCGCAGCGAGATTACTCTGTGGCCGGCGTATCGTACATGCTTGCTTGCCAACGAAGAGCTGTATTATGTGCGGTTGTCGAGTGAGGTGCCCTTTATGCAAACTAGAATAAGGCTTTCGGCAGCAAGTGCCGTGGATCCCCGGAGTCGGTTGTGGTCTGCTGGGGGTTGGGCGGAGAAAATGGGAAAAAAGAAAAAGAAAAGAAAAAAGAGCTCAACTGAGATGCACTCATTGGCTCCTCAACTCCAGACACAGGGTTGCAAATTGGCTGAAGGTAGCCCTCGAGTACCGGGTTTTGAGGGATCTTTTGTCTTAGTTTGAGGAAATATTGAGTCTCCCGTGGTACCTTGGACGAAACCTGGCACTAAGTGGAAGTTACGAGCGAACCACTGAAATGGATGGATTAGTGGTAAGATAATACCAGCCTGATACCGGAATGCTGATTAGATTGCCACCATTAAATTTTTTTTAGCTGCCTCAGCCAACCGGCCAGATAGCAGACTGGTTGTTCGGGTCAAGCCGGGTTTCCCGAATTCCCTGGGAAGACCCTTGCAATGTATGATAGCCTTGCCCGGGGGTACTGATTAGCCAGTAAAACCTCCCCCTCGGCACGTCCCGTGTAGCCGGGGATGGGGTAAGAAACGGTGAGGGAGTTCTGGGATTGTGAGATATGATATCCTGTGAATGGGGGTAGGGTGGTTGATATTATAATACCGGTATGTATCGGTATAGATGCCTAGTTGTCCTTCGCAAAAAGCTTTCTGGGTTTCAAGCGCAGTCGTCCAGTGAGAATGTTTGGGGCTTTTTTTCTTCCCCCTTTCGCATCTAGGAAATGACAGGAGTGCATGAAAACGGCCCGTGGAATTTCACTATTGGGTCACTTAATGTCTGTGGTCAGGTTCCTGTGGGTATCATACCCACGATGTTGGAATCTGGTTTTCGTGTTGGATCGAGTAATGATTACCATAAGGTGATTTAGGGTTAGGGATATGTTTTTTTTTTCTTCGCTATCATGGGCATGAGGACGGGTTTTTGGAGCTGGTGCCGTATGTACTGACTTCCATGTTTCGTTTGTTCTGGGTTCGGAACCTTTGGGACTTTGCTGGTGAAGGGCAATCTGATAATTGAAGTGGAGTGGAGTGGATCTGTAAATTTACAAGAATCGAACTTAAATATAGTTATCCTGTCCTCCTAGAAAACGACATCAACCGGCGTAGGTATCCATTCTCAATATCTTTGAGGGCATCGCTTGATATGACCCTACGAAAGTTATGAGTCGGGGGACCGGGGGTTTTGGAAAGCGAGGGCAGCCTGTGGTCTTCTCATGACAGGTATCGATATATGAGGGAGTGTTATCTCTGCCCACCTTTGGCTTTAGGGACCGATAAATTGAGAGACCCTTTACGATGGGGACCCGAATGTGTGCATCATATCTTGGATGACTCTTTAGAGGCTTTTTTTTTTTTTTGATCCTCATGGGAGGATGCAGCTTTCTCCAGAGCGGTACGTGTGCCACAAGCTATCTAGCACACACATATATATATATGGCCGATAGTTACCAAGTCCTCTATAGTCGTGTGTGAGACGTGCTGTATAGCACTGAGGACAAAAGTTCAAGAGAAGAGATTTCGCAGAATTGTTGATAGTTCCCTGTGATCCTGGATATCCTTGAGATAACCTGAGCGATGGCTGTATCCATTTGTTTGCTAGGTTGCCAGGTCAGTACGAGAGAGAAAGTGTTATTATATTGTTATAATATCATACTATTTCTCGGCTCAGAATGTGGTACTTCTGGTATCATGGATGATAAGGGCTCTAATTCGGGCGCTATCCCTTATATCACCATTTATCACTCGAAATTTATTGTAGTTGCTGCTATGAGTCTCAGCAGCGCTGTGCTATTGCCGCGTATTTACACTGGCGGTGAATGGCCGATAACAAAGTGTTTCTTATGAGGATTCGTTTCGATCTACACTAATTCTCTGAGCTATTTTGCTGCTACCGGTGGAGTTGGTTCCTCTACCGCTATCTGGCAGACGAACGAGGGCAACGATGGAGTTTAAGAGGGGGGCGCAATGCGGGCATCGGCAGAGTCAGGAAGGGGGCTCGGGCTGGGATCTTGCTACTGGGATTCGGCATGTTCAAGCGGTCCTCCTGGGACCGGCCCATGTGAAGATGAGATGTCTCTCCGAGACAAGGAATTTACGAACAAGTGGGTGGGGGATATCGCAAGGCGTGTCATGTCCAACGCCCAGGATTGGATAACCTTAGCCACTGAGGGACTACGGCTTAGCTGGGCTGTGTTGAGGAGGCCCTTGGGACCGATTTCATAATTCGTTACCTACGCGCAATGGCGTATATCACACCAGTACTCGAATTTTGTATAAATTCTCAGAAACTCACCGGGCATTGTTCTGCACCTCACAGGAGCTGAGCTTTTCTCACTTATGCTCGGCATTTTCTGCTGAATCAAACTAAATTTTTCATGTATCGTGGTGTTTAGTAGGTGCTATACAGAAATACCATTTTATTTCTGTTCTCTGAATTTTTATTCTCGGCATTCTCTCCTAGTGCTGTATTTCATGTAAACCTACCAGCCTTAGGGCAATAGTATCTTTTTTACACAATCTCACTTACTGTACTCGAGTAAAAACTTGAATAATTGGACGATGCACTGTATAGTCCAGAATTTCCTTCTCCGGAAAAGGGGCGAAAAGCACAGCAAGAATATAGCTCCTTTCACCCCCTCCGAGACAGAAAAGAAACAGGAGTTTCTTGACCTTGCTGAGAGGAAAGCCCAACGGCTTAGCATCGTCCGATTATTCAGGTTTTTACGGTATCATATACCTCAATGTCCTAAATGGTAATTAGTCACTTATCTAACAGAAAAAAAAACTTTGGTCCTGCCAAACACCAGCATTTCCATAAAAGCTTGGTTTTTTTTATTCTGTGTCATGTCGGAAAAGGGCTTTGATATAATTTGGGGTTACTCGTATCCAAATGAATTTGGAAAGCAAACAAAGGGATAAGGATCGGCTGCCCTTTATCTTTTCTCCTTATTATGCATGTTTAAACTATTTTTTTTCTGTGAAATAAATTCTGTGTCTGGGGTTAAGAGGTATGATAACTATCATTGTGTCAACTGATGGGTCGAGTGATATTTGAAGATCCCGGCTCTTGGGACATCATCATCGAAATCTACGGTCGCCTGGTGGTAAGTACGGTAAGTGCATTTCCCCCTTCTATTGTTTCCCTTATGATACATGGGGATCGGACCCGTGGGTAGCGATCCTGTCTTACCGTAGAACCCTTAGGCCGGAACTCGAGACTGTGGGCTGGGAAGGTCATGTGATATCAGCTTATCGAATCCAGTGCCAAGGGTCAGGTCAACAACGGCCACGAGGGCCCCTCTCTCATTACACCCCTCCTAAACAACTCCAATCACTATCTTTTCCGTAATTCGCTCCTTTCGCGCGTCCAGTACCCTATACCCTGCGTTTAATAGACTTCTTGCTATCCCCTCCTTTCGTTTGAGATCCGGTTTTTGGTTGATGACCTGTACTTGGCGGTCTCGGGTAGCTGTGCAACATTTTTTTCGTACACAACACCATAACAAGTCGAAATGGACTCGGATGCGGATGGAGTGAACGATTTTTTACAGCGGATCCGTGAGTTGGGTGACAAGCGGGACCGTGAGGATGAGGAACGCGCTCGGAGGCTTGAACAAGAGATTATAGCAGGGCGAGAAGCGAGGCGTGCGCGGAGAGATGGTGAGGCTCATACCCTTGGGTGGATTTTGAGCTCCGGAGGATTTTTTACGGTCATCCCCTATTTCGAAAGACTGACTTATGGCCATTGCAGAACGTGCGAGATCTCTATCGCCTCAGAAGGATTCACCGCTGGGCACACCGACGAGTATTCAGTCGTTCTTACCGGATTCACCTGGATCGGAGCCTGCGGGCGATGTCCGCACCCCCGGGAATCGTGAGGATAGTGTGAACGAAGCAATGGAAAAGTTGGCGGGGGGTACGGAGGAAGGCGGTGAACCAGCAGTGAGGGAGCAAGGAAGGCGACCGGGTGGCCCTCTCTCATGGCAGCGGAGACCTAAATCCAACACGGTATCATCATCCTATCGACCGCCCTCTGGCCGACAAGCGCAGCAGCAGCTTGACAGCAGTGATGAAGAGGTCGAGAAGCGACGTTCACAGATTGCGTTGAATTTAAGCTCCAAGGATCCATCTTGGTTCAGACAGACGGCGGACCGGGGCACTACGTCGGGCGCTTTGCGGAAGGTGCAGGATGAGGGAATGAAAGTTACTGGGAGGATGGCATTGCCGGGCATGTCTACTGGTTTGACAATTGGGAGAGATGCAGACCTCGAGTCGGCAAAACAATCCCTTTCTGCTCGCTCTTCGAATGAGACCTTGAAACCAGCCAATTTTCCTTCATCGGGTTATCGTGGTCGTAGCGAGTCTGTGCATTCGACGGATCGTATTCCATCTTCGACTTCGACTTCCGGCTTGTCATCACATTCTAGAAATGCCTCTCTATCAAACTCAACCTCTATACGCTTTGATCCTCCGGGGAGGGAGTCACTTTCATCTACCGACGGGGTTAACCGGCCAATTGCTATGAGCCCGAGTCAAGGGCGGATATCGCCAGAACGTAGAGAGAGAACCCCCAGTCCTACAAAAGGTCTGGGGAGCTTTGTTCAGAGCGCAATGCTAAAGAGAGAGGGCTCTATAAATAAGAGATGGAGCAATTCACAACAGCCCGGGGGTTTATCGAGGAATAATAGCTCTGTGGGTTCAGGGTCCATTGCTAGGCCGTCCTTCCCTCGAGCGCGCGACTCCGCTGCTGCTGACAACTCAAGAGAGTCTTCACCGGCATTTGACGATATTTCTGGAAGCGGAGTAAAGGAGTCAATAGAAGGGGAAGATAGTGTGCATGGCATTGGCCGCCGAGGCTCTACTGCGGAGGGCTTATCATCAAGATACCCCTTAACTGGTGAGGGTGGCTTGGATCTATCTTCGAAGCGTTCAGGGGAGAATACACCTCCTTCTTCGCCTTCAAAAACCAACGACCAGAAGAGATGGAGTCCAACAAAGTCCTCATGGCTGGAAAGTGCATTGAAGAAAGGTGCAGAGAGCCCACAATTCTCACCACCCCCAATGAAGCCATTGGTAAAACCTTTTGAGAAGCCACCATTAAGGCCTTTTGAGAAAAGGCTTCCAGAAACTGCTAGCACACCTATTCGTCCCCCTACAAATCCTAAGCCTCCCAATCTTTCGCCAAAGCCCCTAGAAAACCCTCCTGACCTCACATCGCCAAAGGCTGATGTGGCTTCGGATACCGGAGGTGCACCTTCAATAAAGCCACCTGTTGCGGATAAACCTGTCGTTTCTCCCAAGCCGTCGTTACAACCGCCAATCAATACTACGGCACCCATTCTTGAGAAGCCGCCTCTCAAACCTAAGGAACCTCTTAATCTACGTGCTGGACTGAAACCTCGGCCTGTGGTTGGGGGGAATGACAAAGGTGAAGAGTTGCCTTTTTTGAATGCGATGTCAAGGTTACGTTCTGTAAAGACTCAGAATTATGCTGCGCCTAACGAACTGAAGGAGCGTATTCTTGCGGGCAAGGCCAATTTGCATGCCTCAGGTGGCCCTCAGAAAAACAGAGGACCGGACCCTGTGAGAGAAACACTGCTCTCGGTCAAAGGATCTCTTAGGCACTCCAATAGCTCTCGTGTAGCACCTACAGTGCCTCCAGCTGAGACAAAACCTAAGTTACCAGATCTTGCCAAGCAGGTGCCTTCACTGGCGAAACTCGGACCTGAACCGAAGGGGTCAGTCCTTGCCAACAGATTCAATTCGAACCTTGCCACTTTATTACAGCGAGGCTCTCCAGGAGTGTCTCCCAGTAGGAGTCCGGAAGCCGCTCAGGGTGAGGGTAGAAGCGAGGTTGCAAGTAATATTGAGGCTCAGGGGAGTGGGAAAGCCCTCACACATGTAGGTTTATTTCTGGAGTATTATTTACACTATTCTTGTGGATAGTTTGTTAACTATTAGCCTAGATGACCAAAGGCAGAGCTCGGGGACCGAAGAGACGAGCACCGACTGTAAAGGATGGAGCAGATGCAAAACCAGGGGCGACCCGGGGTACGGTAATAAACGAGGAAGTAAAGGAGGCATGATTGTATTTTTAACGGAAAAATGATGGTATGCCCGCCAAAATAAAGAACACGACAGGGGGGATAGAGTGCCTGTCAGCAGAGAGATTAAAAAAACAGGAAAAACAAAAACAAAAGAGGAACTTGTTATGTTGGGCAACTTTCTCGACCTGCGGATGGGTAAAAGCTGGGTCCTTGCCATTTCTCTCTCTCTCTTTTTTTTTTTTTTCACTCCTACATTACTTAGATAAAATCATAATATTATGATACCATGCACAGAATTCACACAGTAACAAACTCTAGCCTCCAGCTACCGCAAAACGAAACCACACGGACCGACCCCATCACTGAAAGGGGCCCCCTGCAAAAATAAGTAAGCCCGCCTCGATGACTGCCTAACAAACACCTTTTCCGAGCAAACGATCCAATAATTTGGAATCACCGTGACAATTAAGGTAACCCGAATTTGATTATTTTTTTTTCCCCCTTCCCTACCAATCGAACCAGAGGGGTGAGAAATCCCGGGAGTATGATATGAGATTGCTGTACGGTAACGATAAGGATGGTGAATTACGAGCTGAATCGGGAGGCCTGCACTGCACTGCACTGCACTGCACTTGCACCTACCGGTACTGTATATCCCCCACCCGGGGATGGAATTACCGACCTTTTCTTTTGCCTTGAATAAGAATAATATATATATATATATATATGTGCGTGATGATGGAGTGGTTGGGATATATCGTAGGTGTTTTGTAGGGTATTATTGTAAGCAACCTAAGGCGTTTTTAGGGGATGCCTGCATGGGGATGATGATATGATGGGAAGGAAGGAAGGGAGGAAGGAAGGAAGGAAGGAGGAGCTTTCCGTCTTTAGCAGCCGGTTTGGCCGTGGAGTTATTTTTTCTCTTCCATGATATATTCCTGTCGTTGATTATTTTGGGTGTTGTGTTGAACTTTTTTTTTTGTATGGTCTTGGGAGTACAGTATATGCGATATCATGAATTTAGGTTTGGTTGGCGTTGGGGAAGTGATGGGCTGTGATCCGTACTCATCTGCTTTTTTTTTTTTTTGAACCCCAGCGAAAGAAGTAGGTAGATTATGATAGGTAACTTAGGGAGACGACGAGCAGTAGGATCGTATAATAAATAAGTTGGTAGATTCTTACTCGTACCGTAGTGTATTCTTCCCTACCCCTCCCCATCTGTTTTCTTTTTTTTTCCCACGATATCCGTATCTGCGAGGGATGATGATAGAATTTACAAGTATCATAGCCCATCGTACCGGTATCTCAGCGTAATGCCGTCTCCTCGGTCGTTGACTTCCCATGGCAACACAACCGCATCGAGCCTCTGGGAAGGGAGTGAAAAGAAGGGGAGGGGAAAAAGACACTTTCCAACTCCCCCCCTTCTCGTCAATTCTTACATTGGATGGACCTACCCACCAGAAGCCGCGAGTCTGTTTTTTTTCTTCCTACTGTATTTTGGTTGATAAGCCCCTGCAGTTGGGGTTTGGGGGGACCTGCCAGCGTAAGCAATTCTATACAAGTACCTGGCACTAAAAGCCATTAGGAGGTTGGTCGGCATTTTACACTTTTTTTTGGGAAAAAAAAAGAAAATGAGCAACTTTATATCTGGAAATCTCGCCTTGATTGCCTTGATAGAGGGGGGTAAAAAAAGAAGAGAAAGAAGAGAGGTTAAGCCCTATCTATAGACATTGGGAGAGAATTTTTTTTTTTTTGGCGAGTTGGTAGTCCTTGAAGTCATGCAATTTTGGTGCAAAATAGCAGTCTCCCTAGGCCTTTTTGTGCGCGGATTGTAAAGTGCTGGGTTGGGAAAAGGGAGTGTTGATTTCGGGCATTCGCATTTGATACGGGTGGCAGTGTCACCTCGCTGTAGTCTGTCTACTCGAGTATCATACAATTGTTCTTCCTTCCTGTCTTTTTTTCTTCTCCCGCGTTGATAGCGTTCTGGCCAACTTGATTTTACCTGCAGCCTTCTGAAACTTTGTATGGGTTGGACACAATCCAGGTTTGGAATCTCACTTTTTGTCACCGATATTTCTCGTACTCTATTGACCCATCCCACCCCTCGTTCCTGGACCCCACACTGTACTGGTGAGTACTGGCAAATAGCCTTTAACCGTGGGGGAGCGAAACTTGTGGCGCAATATATTCGTTATAACCTCACCATCAAGAAACATTGGGACTGCATGTCTCCCACTTTCAGAGACATTTCCAACCCCACATAGCAAGCCAGATATTGTACCGGATAGGCCCGAATCAAGACAAGAGGTAACTAGGGGGTGACCGATAACTAGGTATCGGTACTGTAGGTTACAATAAGCTACTCTTTTTTTCCCCATCTCGCCCAGATTCCACCCATGCCGAAGAGCTCATTGATCCATCCATTGTTTTATCAATCCACCACTTGGTATTCCCTCCCGCCCGCCGTAGCTCCATTCGTGATATTCAAGCTAATTAGTAACAGTGGTATTAACAGAAGGACCCTGTCACCCGCAAAAAGCGCGTCTCACGAGGCGTACCCCGTAAGCTAAGGGTAAGCTGTGCTAGGGTAATAGACATATACTCAAAAGGCCATGGTAATGTAATGCAGTATGAATCAAGAAAGCAGAGAAGTCCCATGAACGGGGTGCCCGAAGAAACCAAAAGAAATGAGGGGGAAATACAATAACGTTGAACATGAGATAAACGGGGGACGAAGAAAAAATGAAATGTACTCTGCGGTATCAGGCACAATACTCAACCCCTACACCTTAAATTCGAACAATGCCAGGATGAATAGAACTAGGTCTTCCCGATCTGCTCCTTGATCTGTGTGAGCTCGGTGTCATCTTCGTCCCCCAGAAGGTTCCTTTTCAGCCAGTCGTTCGCGAACATGCCATGAGGATCAACGGCGTCCCTGAGTTCTACCCAGTCCTTCATTTTGGGATACATGCCCCAGAATTCCTCCCTGGACGTGGAGATAAAGTTCTTGGCCCAGTGAGGCCTCCCACCTAGGTCTTTCATCAGCCATTCAAAAGCATTGTAGTACCGCTCCCACTCTGGCGGGTTCTTGAGGAATGGTCGGTACAGGGTGGCATTCAGGTAGAGGGTTGGGCCCGTCTGGCAACTTTGATCGAGCCAAGGTTTTTCAGCCTGCACGGTGGTGTCGGCAACCCGGACCTCGATTGGCGCGTGCACATATATCCCTTTCGGGGAGAACGGGATGCCGCTTTTGTTGCCCTTATCTCCATCTAGCCATGTCTGCAGGCGTTGAATTGCCTCCGGCCCTTTTTCTAAAGGAATTGCCCACTATTGGCGTTTCAGAGTAAAGTCAGATATACGCTTAGGCAAGAGATTCGGATGTTTGTTGGGATTGGGGAGGTGAGGGGGACGGTAAAGGCCTCATGGGGGTCAAAATTTTTCTTGAAACATCTAGTAGAGCTGTCGGGGTTACACGATAGCGCTAACCCCCGGCTGTTGCCCTTATACTTGTTCCCATTCTTCAAGCAGACTCTCGTTCAGGGGGGTTGGGGGAGGGGCATTGGGACGGGGGGTAAGAAATCCTATATTCACCTCATTAACAAGTTGTGGAAATAAACAGTCCATTGTAAGTGCATCTTGGCTTTTCTGGACAGCCGAGCCAGCCGGCCCCTCTTCCCATCTATACTGCATGGAAAAGACATATCTCTCTACAATAGGAGTCAACCATGGGAACCAGGTGGAGAAGTATAGTGCGAGCTCGTATGAAAATCGCCCTAACCATCCACCGTACCAGCTATGCGGCCTTTCACGTAATGGTTCCTCTGTTCTGTTTGCTGACCAAACGATCGACCTCCCGGAGTAAGGAAACCACCACATCCGTATAAATTCTGATCTGGTCCACAAATCCGTTTTCCAATTATCCAAGATCCGGGGGGTCTTTACAACCTCTTGTTTCCAAGCCAAGTTGAAGGCTGGTACAGCTTGGAAAACTATATGTGTAATAATTCCCAATCCACCAAGTGAGACCAGTGCAGCATGATAGAGATCCTCGTTTTCCATTGCACTGCACCTTAAGGATTCGCCACTCGAGAGCATTATGGTGAGACCAACCACGGCTTGGGATAGGGTGCCATGCATCAAACTTGAGCCGTGGGTATTGGTAGCGATGGCTCCCGCAATGGATTGAGCTGTAATGCTTCCCAGATTTGGCATAGCCCATCCTCGCTTTTCAAGCTCATTCGCAAGCTGATAAAGCCTAATTCCAGCCTCGACCTCGAGTTGTAGTTCTCGGGAATTCTCGAGGGCAATGGAGCTGAACCCGTCTAGATTTACCATCCAGGATGATGTGCAGGTGAGATCATTTGGCGAGTGACCGGAGCCCACCACAACGATCCTTTTTCCGCATTGCCGAGCGAGATTAACAATCAAACGAATCTCCTTCTCCGTCCGGGGCTGCAAGAACAATTCTGGATTTGAAAAATGCGTTTTTGCCCACGTATGGTGTTTGTGACTGACCGAGGCCCTGAATGGAATGTGCGTACCAGTGTTGGCGTCCCAAGAAAGTGTTGAAATTGCATCGCCGGTATATTTTCGGAATTCTCTATGTGCTCCAGGGTCCATATCGGGAGGGCAAGAAGTTGTGGGGCGGGGTCAGGTAATTCTGGGGAGGGGTGATCTGCAGCAAGGCTGGGGATAAGCACTGGGGGGAAATCCAAGGGATTCAGATGAAACGCGGGGGTGTACAAGAGTTATGATAGACTTTAAGACGGCGGAATACTCGTGCGCTGGATATAAGGCCGATATGGGGGGAGGAGGGGCGGAGAGGAAGGAAGTAGCGAGAAGGTAGGATAGGCAAAAATATGTAATTACGAAACGTTATAGCCGATGGTAAGAGGGCAATAAGGAGGAAGATGATGCGGACGAAGATCTGGAGGACGAGGGAGGGGAAAGATGACGAAGGGTTCCAGTTTGAACAGCCGATATCTGTGTCCCCTTGCCACACATCCCCCACCCCACCCCATAAAGTGGTGGGGGAGCATCACACCCGAGAGGATGAGCAAGCACAATGTGCATTGTGGCCTCGGAGATGGGGCTTGCCACTAAATCATCTTGCCTCCCGGGGAATGGGCGGTGTGTGAGACTCGGATCGGGACCGATTGCTTTCAAGGTGAGCAACAGTGGTGGGAGAGCAGTCACTGGACTAAACCTAGAGAGTAATAGTAGCTGGGTTGACAAAGGGGGAGTATAATAGTTGCTGGATGAGTTAAACAGTCCAAGTTCCTTGCATCGTGGTGTGGGCGGCTGCCACTTGGGTACAGAAGAAGGACGGGGGGGAGGGGAGTCGTGAGGGGGTGGGGATGTAAGAGCAGCAAAGTGGGGGGGGATGGGGGGGGCGAGAAGAGGCAGGGGGAAACGAAGCCACAGCTAGCCATACAATACCGGTGGCGATATCCACTCTGGGCCCTGGAGGGGTCGATAGGAGTCGGAAAGAGTAGGGCCGAGCTAGGCGTTTTCTCCTTTATGGCGGAGAACAATCTGAATTATCAGTAAAATTTGACTGAAGAATTGATAGGGTATCATACTTGAAGCCATTAACTTCATCTTCGGGCGAGGGGAGTGGGGATTATGGGTGGGATTATGATACATCTACGATATGTTTTTCGAGGTTTTAACGACAGGTGACATTACGCCACTTCCCTACAGAGACCCACGTGACAAGCACTTCTCGGATGATTGTCATAAGAGGAATCTCGAGTACGGTAGTTGCGGAAGCCTGGAATCATGCAAAATCCTAACTCATATAGCCTATGGCTTAGGGATAGAGGTGTCTATGGGGGCATTCATCATTTCCTATCCCCCCCTTGTGCGAGTAGGTGCTCCTCGCCCCCTCCGTGCTGTGCGAGTATGTGATGTATACTTGTACCTTACTCGAGTACCTCACCTTTCTTTCCAAATACCCATACATGGGCTCCCGTAACCGCACCTGGAAAATTATCGCTGTGCATCGTTTTGGAGCACAGGACCGCCTCTATTCCGTATCGGTGGGGTGCTACGGCAAGCTAAAATTAGCCAACTGCTTATATGATAAAAGGTATCTCAAAAATGAGACGGAGGCTTTCCTTTTTTGCTGGTTGGGTGGTTGTGCAATATTGGCCGTATTTCAGATACTTCTTGCCAGACACAGGTAAGATATCATACAGTGTTCGCAACGACCTAATCTATGATCTATCGTGCACCACCACCACCGCCACGTACCGTTTGATTTCAGTTCTCATTAAAACCCCCCGAAATGACGTGCCCCTAACGACATTTCACCGCTTCCACCGTATCCTCGATCGGCGGCAGGGGCAGCTGACAGCTCGCCAAATTTGCATTATTTTGTGCCGCAATGGGGAAGGTGTTCCAGCGAGAAAAAAAAAGAAAGTCATGACGACATAAGCTATCAAGTGTTTTGCGCCTGTCTCGGAAGGGTGAAAAAAACATATCGACCAAGGAGAAGTCGAGAAATTTCAACTGGTGGTGCTTGTCGTTTTTTGGGAAGCACAAGAGTTCTTGAGGTAGGGTGCGACCTGTACTTTGACCGCATAGTTTCTCGCCGGCGGGGCAGATACCGGTACTAAGTTCAGCCCGCGGGTGGGGAGGGATGCCGGCACACAACAGCGTCCGATGGGGGCAGGGAAATACCGGTACATATCTCACCCCCCCCCCCCCCCCCGGCCATAAATGGAGTAGGGCTTGTGCGATTGCAACCAAGAAGGAGAAAAATGGATCTTGGAAGGGAAAAAGAGCTTCCGGGATGGACCCCGCAATAATGGATGATCATGGCGCTGGTTAAAACGGACAAAGTCCTCCAAGCACATGATTTGAGAGAGAGGCTGAAAATGAGAGGGTATGATACTAGTAAGAGAGGAGGCATGGGGAAAATGGAATAAAATGTCAACCACACTGCCCGCCGTCTTGCTTCCACCTACTCGTAGAGGCGCCGTCCAATGACTTCATAACCCCTCCTGTCGGCAGAAGCGTTGTCAGATACTCATAGCATTACTGGACGGTACCTGCTCTAAAAAAACCCCGCATACCATAATTTAAGGGCCTTGTCCTAACTGCCGTGCATGGAAACCATGTTCGACATAAAATTTGACATGGGAAAGGAAAGATAAGTTTGAGGGGCTAAACACAGATCTCTGGGAGCAAGGGCAGTTACTTTAGTGGTGTTCTGCCTGAGGCCTTGAGTCTTCTATTGGGTCGAGTCGGCTCTATCCCCCAAGATCACCTTATCTACCCAGCAAGTATCGGCCAATCCCTTAAACTCGTACCACCGTAAACAGAGGTGTGACAACACAGAGCGCCCCATTGTGCCATACTTTTGTGTGCTGCTCTTCCAATACTTCCATCCATCTCGGACTATTCTCCACCTCCGCCGGACAGGTGTTGAACAACAGAGTACCGTACCAATCAGTATAGCACCATGAGGCTATTCTATTCCATTTTCTTAAGGCTGCGCCAGTCACGGAACCCCGGCGTTTAGCTGCCCGAAGCACAATAATATCATCTACTCGATGTATTTAGAAATTTTCATTCAACCTTAGGGGGGAGAGCTATCTAAGCCACGCCACGAACGTACTCGCCCCAAACACGGGTACCCCGACGTCGCTTCCAGCCAATCCCACCCTCGTGCGCCGAGATTCGAGCCGCGGCCGGTTGCGAGCCTGGTCACTTTGCCATATACCTGTACCAGTATTAGGTTCTAAGTGCATCGCTGCAAGGATGGCCTGGGTGTGGCGACTGCAGTCGTCGTTGAGAGCGGGGTTGATAGTGTTCGCTTACTTGCTCGGCCCTGAGACGAAGACACGGTGCCGGTACTTTATCAATATTTCCTGAGATTCGGGGGGGAAGGGAAAGGGAAAGGACGGTGTTTTCGCACCGAGGGAAAGCTCTGGCGTCAGGCGTCTGGGTTTCAAATTTGGCGGAAGGTTAAATTCTCCGCAGAATGCCAATGCCCTGCACGACCCGTAATCTTAAGCCACCCTATTTGTTCGGACTGAATAATCCACCGTCCCCGCGCAGGGGCTAATCCCCACGTTCAGAGACAAAACAGTTCAAGAGGGGATAGCGCTTGCCAAACGTGGTATGGCTTGAGCATACTTGTACAAAGCAGGTTACCAAGATTTCGAACTCAAGCCATACCCTGTCAGGTAAACACTGCTCCTTGTGTTTTGTCTCTGAACATGGAGATTGACCCCTGCGCAAAGATGGTGGACTATACTAGTAAACACGGGAATTACGAATAGCGGTGGGTACCCACTTATTACAAAATACTCGATTGGTGTTCCTCTTGGAAAAATGAGGATATATTGGGCTTTGGGCCTCAGAGCACTTGGACATTTCAGTGGCATTGTCTAATATCTCCGGGAGATCCGTGCTATCTCCGGGAGGCTGGGGCTGTTGATGGACCAAGGACTTTGTGTGCCTCCGGAGGCCCCGGCCGGACATGGAGTTGGCTTACCTCTTAGACGCAAGGCCGTGGGGGGCGTATGCCGGTCCGGCGGCCCCCCTCCTGTACTTGGCTACCAAATAAACCCTATCGAACTGGACCGCTGAAACTCTCGAAAATTTACTGCTGCCCCTGTCGCTGTATTAGACACAAGTTGATAAGCAACTTTTGTTACCACGGATTCGCGGATGCGCAAACTCCAGACTATTCTTGATATTGGCTGTGTGACAGTGTCCACGTTTATCACTGAGGAATACTAAGGCGGATCCCTGGCCAACTCTATCTTAGACATCGACAGGGGCATCAGTAAATTTTCAGGGGTTTCACCAGCTCAGGCGATAGCCCGATCTGCGACTTTTTTTCTTCCCCTTATGATACCTCCCTCTCGATAGCAGACGTGAGGTGCCACAAAAAGCGCTGTGCATCGCGGCTCTTGTGAAAAAAGGAAAGAAAGAAAAAACTGTAATTTTCCGAGATGAGCGGAACAGGCGCACAGCAGTCAGTCCTTGACCTCGTTAATCTTGGCTTTTTAAAATTGTGGGGTTCGTCTGATCCCGTTAGGGATTTTCGCCACCCAATTAGATTTTCCGTTAATGCTATTGGCTGACGTGGCGTGCTAGAAATGGGCTGCCACCAAAATACCGGTAGATGCACAGGTATCGTGAACCATTTTTTTTCACCCTGGGCCTAAATAATGCGTGTGAGTTGGGATGTCGAAGTTTGCGATAGGACCGGGAGGATCATCAAGAATCACTCGCGCCTAAAAACGGGTGCCCTAGGTTCTTCGCCCCCCCTTGTTTCGATACTTACAATACCCCCCTGGAACTCCTGATCGGCTGACTCGGAGGGAACCGCCCTTTCTCCGGCCACCGCGAGTGGGGACAGTGGGACCGGTATCGTGGTAGGTTTAGCTCACCGGGGAGCCTCCGCGCCAGTTTAGGCGGTGGGACAGGTAGCCAAGCCCATTGTGGCTCCGAGCACAAATGTCTCTTTTTTTTTTTTTAAGTGAACAACACAATAGATTTGTTCGCCAGCCTTCCACCTGCCACCTCCTGTCACCGATTGGCTTGCGTAAGCCACAAAAATACAGCGATATGAAATCAAGAGACGTGGGAGCGCACAGCCACGATCATGACAATGGTAGATCATAGACAGACTTGACTTCACCTCACGTTCCGGAGTCAGGATTGAAACGGAAGTTTTTTTTTATATGAAATTTCTCAAATTTATAGCGCAGGGACGCTAGCTCTTCTCATTTCGCTCTAGTGTTTAGCGAAGAGCGGGACAAAGATATCCGAACCTCGCACCGATAAAAGCGCTTTCTGAGTAATGCAGTAGCTTTAGGACATAGCCGAGTAGTTCGCTTTCCACGCCACATATTAGCGATATACCGGTACTCGAGTACCGTACTGTGCTCTACATGCCCTATGGGACCCCCCAAGGGTCAGGTGATGAGGCTCTTTTTCACTCACGAGAGAGGTTGCCTTTCTGGTTCTCCTGGCTCCTCTCTATTTCTGTGCCCGTGCCCAGGAACTCAACGATCCCTGTAACCAATGCCAGGCTATTGGTAAGGTGAATCGATCGTTACATTTTTCTTTTTTTTCTTCTTCCTATCCCTCTCTCTCTCTCTCCCTCTCTTCTTTTTTTTTTTGTCCCTCCTTTCTACCTGTGCCGGGGGCAAAGGTTTCTTTGTCGATATGATACCGGTAGCTGTATGTACCGGTACCGGCCTGAGCTCTGACTGTCTTCTCAGCGCCCACTCGAACCGCTCTCAGACGTTTTACTGCCGCCTGCTGCGTGAGCAGCACCCGGGGAATGACGAACCAAAAATGCCCTTACTACAAACCTATGATCTCTTGCATGACAAGGAGGGCGTAGGCGCCACCTCTATACTTGGTATCTTTTACCTCACCTTTTCCCTCCAAACTGGGCTGCCCCCCCAAAGTTTCCGGATCCCTCTTGCTTTCCTAGGTTGGAAGCGGGAATACCTAATAATTAGTTGTAACTCGACATTTATTGCAGGGGCCTGACTTATTAGGTGCTATTATACTGATACCTTATGTTCCCTTTTTTGATACAATTCTTACTTCTCTCGTCTCCCCTTTTGTCTGCATTCGGGATTTTCGCATTTCCATCTAATTCCAAGATTATCCAGTGAGAGATCGCTCTCGCCATTCGATAGCTACAACCCAGGGATTGCGGACCAGACAATAACTGCCACCATTGCAGCAACAGCAACAGTAGGGCGTCCCCCTTGGGTTTACTTACATGTCACCACGTACTGCCAGAGCAGGAGGCACCCGTTCAGGTTCAACCTCAACAGTACATTGCTCCGCCCTCAGAATCTCAGAAGGGCCTGCCCATGTCACGGATTGACTTGTCGAAATTATAACCATACTGTGCTCCTCAGTGGCTCTCGGTATATACTTGTCTATCCTCTATCTTGTATCTTGACCAGTAAATAGGATCACGAGAAAGTAGTTCTTCGATCAATAGGGATGCCGCCGCCCTCCTACTAGCAGAGATTTGCACTGTTCGTATTTTTCCGGTTCGAAGGAGAATGTATCGGCTTAGCGTGAGATGTTCCGAGAGCTCACTGGACCAGGCCAGTACGGAGCCGTTTGTAATGGCATAACCCCAAGTTCCGATATTGGTGACTAACCCCACTTTTTCCGAGGATCAGTTAGTACCAAACCAAGCTCAGCCCACCAAAGCAACCAAACCGCATCACCTTCTGGAACCCGGAGACGAAATAGTCATCCCATTTGCCGTTACTAAGAGATCTCTACAAATGCCCCTTCTCACCCACCCACCCACCCACACCCACCTTTTTACATCCTATAGAACCATACCTACCTCACACTCGGCTGGGGTGTTTGACTTTCGCTCCAAACGTCGATCAGGGACAGAGGGAGCCCCATTCTCCTGATTTTGATAACCGACACTACGGGCTAGCAAATTCGATGGTGCACCCCCCCCCCCCCTCGCCCTCCCTCCCCTCGTCCCCCTCCCACCTCGTCTTCTCCATAACATAACTGGAGCCGGGAGGCTGAGGAGGGTAGGAGGAGGAAGGCAGCAGCAAGAAATGCCCCGAACTCTGGTAGTCCGGTCCCTCTTGAGTGCCATCCCCAGAAATGAGAATTACGAGACAATGCACCTGAGCCTTCTCGCTAAGTCTATCCCCGAACTACTTCGACCAAACAGGAGGATCTTACAAAACTGGGACGTAGGAGAGTCATAGTATTTAATCCCCCGATTTGGACCTCATCCTGTTATGATTACCAGCTTCAGAAAGACAATATATTGACTATATTCTTCCATATTTCCTCTCTTTCATCCATTCAGACCAAGTATACAGGACAAAGTCTAATCGCACCGTATATCAAGCCGACGCTCACTTTTTCTCCATATTTTTATTTTCCTTTTTCCCACCATCGATTTTACAAGAGATATATATCAATGTCCTCGCCATATAGACCAACAGTGGCTATTGCCGGTCTCAATGGGATACTGGGCCGGCACACTCTTGCAGCTCTTCTTTCTCCTCAATTCATAGACAATTTTCACTTACCTATAAGGGTTTTGACCAGAGACCTGTCCAGCGCTATGAGCGGGCACCTGTACAGTGCGGATATGGTACGGCAAGGTTTTTTTTTTCTAGAAGATTTCGATACACTAAAAACACCGCATACCTTCCCCCTCGTGGGGACGGGGTGCGGTGCTTGGGCCGACCACAAATGGTACAGGACAAAGCTAACGCTGTATGCCACCCTACCCGAAAATACAGGCTCTGTACCTCAGTGCGAATTACGGCGCCCCTGGGGATCTTGACGAGGCACTGCAAGGTGTTGATGTTGTGATTAACTTGCTTGGAAGTGAGTCTCTTTCCTTAGCCCATTCTCCCTCTTTTACCCTCTTTCTCTCGTCAACTGTCGTTTTTATTTTTCTGCCCCGTTCTTTCGCCTGCTGGTCGTTTGCTCTGCCACGCTGGCGCATTTCGTTTTGCATTTATATTTTTATTCAGGCGATGTTGAACGTCAATGCGTTCTTACAGCGGAGGCTGACATGTGCTGCTTGAAGTGTACCCGGAATCCTGGGCTCAACTTGGCGAGGCCGCTTACCGAACTGGGGCTAGTCTGTACATTCCCTCTGAATTGTAAGTATCAGCCTGACCAACCAAATGCAACTAAACCATCCCTCAGTAGCATCGCCCACATGCGTTGTCACTTCATTTTAAAGGGCTTTAAAAATGGTGTAACTGACTATGTTATCACTATTGAAGTGGCCCGGACCATAGATCCTTCGATTACCAGTCGCCATTTGAACAGAAGCGAGTCCAATCAGAACAAACAAGAGAAAAGGGCATCAAATCCGTTCAAATATTTTGCGGGGTCTTCATGGAGCACGCCCTCCCTGTTGGGAGGCATCTGGGGATCGATCTGCCAGGCCGAAGTGTCACAGCCGTTGTCCCGACAGGCGGCTCAGACCCCAGAGTCTCCTTCACTTCTGTGACGGATGTTGCCATGACCATTGCGTCTGTCGCTTGTAGGAGGCCGAGTGTCCTCCCCGACGCAATTCAAATTGCCAGTGGCACTTGGACGTTAAGGCAACTGGGGGAGTATTACCAGAGCCTCATCGGTGCTACGGTGCATGTCACAACACAAGATTATTTAGCCTTCAGGGAGTCAGTGCTTAACAGTGACCACCAGAGCCCCAGCAGTCACTACCAATTGGCTGCTGGAGCAGGTTTATTGGATTACAGCACTACCAATTCTAACGATTGGGTCAGCGCTGGAATGTGGGAGTGGAGATCCATACAGCAGCATCTTACCGGTATTTAGTCTAGTCTAGTCTCTTTTTTTTTTTTTTTTTTTACTTTTCATCACTTTTATTTTCCCCTCCCTCTTTTGTTCCCTCTTTTATTCCCTCTTTTTACTCCTCTTTATTTGTTCATTTCACTCCACCTTCGACTTCTGTTTTTTCCCTCATATTCTGGCCACCGGTGAACGAAGCCCCGTTTCGATAAAAAAAAAAGTCTCGTAACTAAGCGTGCACGTCAGCAAACCAGCCTTCCTCAAATGCTACTCAACAAAGAACAATTCCTGAAACCCGCGCGGCGAGGAGGAGGAGGACAGGAGCTGAGCAACAGGCAGCGGCAGCACTTTCTCGCAGATCACGAAGGATGCGGGGGCCGGGACTGGGGGCTGGTGGTAGGGATGACGGTACGACGCGCATGCAGGAACGGAGAACATCATTAAGAAGTTACCGCAACGGTCAGGGTAACGTGAATAGGCAAGCAAGAGGTAGGGACTTGCCCGAGGCACGAAGGGCTAGGAATTAATGGTACGATCGACCGACCGACGCACAGCAACAAAACGGCTATAGACGAGCACGAGTGAGCTCACGCGAAGATAAACCGGGGGAAAAAAAGACGATTATAAGTTCTGGAGTTTTATTCATTTCATTGTCCCAAGGGGGCTTTTTTCATTTCATTCCCTTACCTAGTTGTCGTTTGTATTTCTTTTCCTTACCCTTCCACCTCTCGCTTCTAAAGTTCTCAGGTTGGCATAATCGTTGGTTTGGGGGTTTTCGCAGCGCAGGAAGCCGGCATGGTATAATTAGCTAGAATTTAGTGAAAGAGGAGCAGTGCACGGAGTTTTTTGTATCCTTTTTTATGTTACCGTCTATTTAATTTATATCCTAATCTAGGCCTCTATATCTGTCTCAGCTTATGGTATCATATATCTTTGCATGGGGTCAGTGATTCTCTGATCTCACAAGAAGCTCTCGTCGAGCTCCGCGCATAGAATTCTAAGGGAATCCGAAGTTTACAGTGGGAATATGGTCACATGTGCAATTCTCAAAGTTGTTAGGGGTTATTCCGTAAACTTGATTCGTATCATGGTCGTGTCGGGAGCTGGATATCTTTCGTTGCATTTTCTTTTTCTTTTTCGAAGCCCATGAGGGCTTGTAGACGGGCAGAAAGCCGAGTGAACGATCAATTGGCTACCGTAAGAACTCGAATAATTGAACCTCGCGCTAGAACGTTCAGAATTCCCTCTCCTGGATAGGGGGCTGAGAGCACTGCGAAAACCGACTCCCCGAGCCCCTGCTTGAGATAAAAGAAAAGTAAAAAAACACCGCACCATACCAGTAGAGGCAACACCGACGTCCTAGCTCCAGGTTCAATTATTCGAGTTCTTACGGTACCCAAGCAACCAGGCCGGTCCTGGGAGGAGAAGGTGCAATTGGTTGATGGCATCATGACCCGTGGGGCTTTCCTTGTGAACCAGTCTCCCGATAACGAGTAAGCGCCATGGGCGACTGAGCGGGGGATGCGGGGGAAGGGAGGGGGGGGGGGGGGTAGGGAGGTGGTGTCTCCATTTAAAAAACGTTTTCATCATGTTGGGCTCCTTTTTGTCACGTTGGTTACTTGAATAATAAGTGGCGGGAGAGGGGTAGATATGAAAAAAAGTAAAACATGGATAAATGAGGTGTGATTTACGATCACACGCAGCGTGGTCACCGGGACACATTGTTTACATTTGTCTTTCTAATAAAGAGTGAGAAATGGGGTGTCGAGGAATTGTGGGGGTTGAGGTATGTATCATATCATAACTTAGTCAAATATTTGTCTAGCCAGCCCTACCTAATAGGGGTATCCTAGGTTAATAATATAAAAGTTGAGAGAAGAAAAAAAAGAAGAATTCGTAGCTCATCCTGCTCAGCAGTTTCATGCAAGCTAGTGTGCACGGAAACGGTTAACTTTCCACTAATTTACTCCTGCCACCCAATGCCCCGACTTCATGTTGGGATCATTGGCAAGGGACCTACCGTATTGGGGTCACGAAATCTTGTTCTATGATACAAAAACTTTTAGAACTTAGAAACCAGATATGAAGCAAAGAGGGATTTTTTTTGGGGAAAAATCGGCAAATGGTGCCAAAATGTCATAACACACTTTGGAAGTGATTATCCATTATTTCTGCCAAAAGTGGCTTACCCCTGAACTATTGTTAATGAACATCGGGGGGGGGGGGGATGTTCTTTTTGGTTTTTGATATCATATCTGTAAGATCCAATTTAACCTAGGCAGCGGGTAACCTTAGTCGTTACCGAGATGTCTGAGAAGCCTTGGGAACCGTTGGAGCCTCATGTCGATCCGGGCGCCGCCACATGAGATCAATAAGGTGCGGCTGAATTTAAGCTATACCGGATCAAATCACGGGTGTCCCCCCTGTATCGTACGAGTACAAAATATAGTCGATCTTCTATCCATTTTTCCACTCCCCGCTCGTCCCACCCCACCGCTCTCTTGCTTACTCTCTCGCTCTCTCCCTTGCTCACTCCCTTGATCTGCCCTTCTCCTCCGACGGATGTGATACGATAGGGCAAAGCAAGTTTTTCTTTTATCAAATCTTGCAGTTAAGGGCTGCTTAGCGATAGACGCCCAATTTCACGTACAGTACTTACCGCAAGGCAGCAAGCAGGAAAATAGGCAAACAATCCAGACCTCCTCGATTTCGCTCCCCCCCTTTCCCAATCTTTCTCTGTTCGTTGTGAGACAAACCATCGGTACCTTACGCTAAACTTCTTGATCACATACCATTTCGCCCATCCCATCCCATCACCTCGACCCCTCCCCCCTCTCTGCCGGTACTTCTCCCCCCAGCCCTGATAAGTCCCCGTTCCCGTTCACTCGTATTCCCGCACCTTACTCTTGCAGTACTATACGACAAACGGGTTACTCATAGTTCAGCTGAACAAACGCTACCAGGACTACGACGGCAGCAAACAATAAGCGGCTTTAGGAAGCGAGGAACGAAATAATACAGACAAAAAAAGAGAAAAGGAAAGAAAAAGAGAGTCAGATGCTCGCCATATTACGGAAATCACGGCTGAAGGATCAGGAGATGCGTGTGTTAATGCTGGGACTTGACAATGCCGGAAAAACCACTATCGTCAAGCACGTCATGGGTGAGGATGTGAAGACTGTGAGTCCCACATTGGGCTTTATTATCAAGACGATCGATTACAAAGGGTACGTACAGAGTGGTATGTGGCTCGTTGAACGTCCATCTCCCTGCCTTGTGTTGTCTTGAATTATACGGGCGGACAAATACGTGCATACTGCTCAGCTGGCAGAAGTGGAGTGAGTGAGTAAAGGGGGCTATAGGGGAGGGAAACTCGCTAATCTACTCTTTCGGCCCCATAGTTTCAAGCTGAACATATGTAAGTAAAGAGAGGAAGAAACGGGGGGGGGGGGGGAAATCTTTTGAGCATGTGAAAATCTTTCCTTCTACCCTTCCCCTCCTCCTCTTGTTCGTGTGCCCTGCCTCGCCGAACATCCGGCTGACTAGAGGGTGTTGATGAGGTAATAGGGGATGTGGGCGGCCAAAAGACCCTCCGCAGTTACTGGAGAAATTACTTTGAAAAGACTGACTCTCTCATCTGGGTCGTCGACGCAACCGACCGGTTCAGACTCAACGACTGCAGGACCGAACTTCATGGACTTCTACAGGAGGAGGCTGGTCCCCTCTCCTCTTCACCCCGTACAAATTTTACTAACAGGAAGTGGGGCGAACAATAGCGGCTCCTCGGCGCCTCGCTTCTGGTGTTCGCTAATAAAGCCGATGTAAGCGGTTGTATGACAGAGACCGAAATCACCCAAGTACGCGCTTCCTTGCCCTCCTCCCCTCTTTTATCCTCGATAAATTGATTCATATTGTCTACGGCACACTATAGGGTCTCAACCTCAACGATATAAAAACGCATAAGTGGACTATCTTCTCCTGCAGCGCAATCACCGGGAAGAACATCTCGGAGGGCCTCGACTGGGTCGTCGGCGATGCTCAGGAAAGATTATTCCTGTACAACGGTTTGGGCGGTGGCTCCGCTACCGCTGATACTGCGAAGGGTCAGTCGAGCTAGTCTGGCTAGTTAGTTTTGGGAACACAGGAGTTATGGGTGGCTATGGCTGTGTTATGTGTCGGGTGGTGGAGGTTCCGAACGTTGTGGTGCCATAATGAGGGTGATGATGATGCCCCTTTCACATACCCACCCTAGAGTATTATACCACGGATTTAAATCCAGAATTTATGCTGGATTCCCGGACCACTACATCACATCACATATAGCATGAAGACAAGTGAGCGCCGTCAACAAATAGACGGGAAATTCGCACCGACAACGTACTCAGTACCTTACCGTAGGCGCCGGCATGCCTTTCTTAACCGCCCTATATAAGTACCAACCATATCACATTGGGAAAAGAACGTGAGTGAGCATCAGTCAGGACGAACAAAATAGCCATAAGCGATATTATGAAAAGCAATGGGAAGGGAAGAAGTACGTCACAGTACAGTGCGATATCTCATAATGCCTCGCTTTTCCAGTTTATTCCACCGGTGTGAGTAGGTGGACACGAGAATTTCTAGTGAACCGTTATGATACAAGCAAGCACTGTACTTTACTGTAATGTACAGGCCGAAACCGCGCTACACTGCACAGGGTTACCGGGGAGTATGGGATACAATACATCACCCTAACAGAAAAGATGCGGTGAGATCCCTCCCGCTAGCCACATGATTATCACGAAGACCCCGCGAGTCAGGTCGTCACCTCGTCGCGCAGTGCTGTACCGTACAGTACAGTGCACTTGTGTAGGCTGTTCGAGATCCCGAAGGCCGTCATCCTCGAGCGCAATGTCAAATAGCTGCCGAGTTATATTATTGGATCGAAAGGGTATTAAGTTGCTACATATGGTATTGGGGGTGTTTTCTCTTTATTTTGGAAAACATGAGTGCCATTGATTTACGTTGAATGTAGAGTTAAGAATATTTTTTTTACAAAAATGACTGTTTGAGTAAGAAACTGCTTGGTGTTTATGAGGGTACTGTACAGCAATATTGCCAATAGTGAAAAAAAAAAATGAAAAAATGAAAAAAACAATAATGGTAAGGTGGTTTTACAATTCTGCTCAAATTTATTTCCATCTTTGTCCTTCTCTGTTGCTATGGGGGCCTTCAAATTAGTACTAGCCAGAAACTGTTATTTCAGTTTAGTATAAAAGGTAGCATACTGATACTAAAAGGAAACTTAATATAGATATATGATTTTGTTAATAATATTATAAAAAGTTAAATCAATTTTAGATTTACTGGAAATAAAAAAAAAACCAGCCTAGAACTTAAAGTTTCTTAAAAGATATTTCAAATTACTAGTATCTTTGTTTTCTAGTTAGACTTAAACATTTTATCAATAAACTCAATATAATTGTCATCTATATAGAGGCACTGACCTCTACTACTAGTACTACCCAGAATACAGTTTCAACTCTTCTCTTTCTATACTAGTATTAGCATGAATAGTTACAGTAGTATTATTACAATAGTTATATTCTGATAGTATTAGGTTAACAGATTAAAGTATGCTTTATAATACTATATTCCTATCTGTAAGGATTACTCTTGGTTGTAATTACAATAATAGAAACATTTGGTAGGGAATAAACAACTTGAATATTCTTATAACCTGATAGTTCTTACTTTCCTTAGAATTAGATATCACTTAGAGGTTGTATTCTGACCAGCAGGGTTTCTCTGCAATATACCAATTAGGTTTATTTGAGTAGTTTTCTTGTTTGTATATTCATAGATCTTAGCTAGTAGATAAAGAACATATAGGGAAAGAATATTATAGTAAATATTTAGTAGTAACTGCTACTTAAACGAATACATAAGAAACTAACAAACTAACTAGGTCTGCCTCCTTATATAGTTCTCCATTGACAAACCCTAACCCTGATGATTCATATCTATGAGTCATATATAATGTATAACTCACAACTATAAGTTATGTAAAACTCTCAGCTGACTCCTATGAGTTGCATCACTGCATATATTAAACCAATTACAAATCAACTAATAAGTTAGATGTGCAACTCATAATATCACCTCTGTGAAAACTATGACTCATAACTTGAGTCATATATAAAATGTAATATATAATATATAACTTACAATTGTAAGTTATCAAATGAGTGAACTAAAATAACATAATAGCAATACCACAAATATGAGTTGTATAGAAACTCTATAAGATCTAAGTAAGTTATGTATAGAAGATAATATATCTATGATACTAGTATAGAATTCTGAGCCATATGAGCTTCTAACAATTTGATCCTTGCAAGGTCATATTCATAACACTATCTATTTGACCAAAACTTTTATGGAGAATATATAGTGAAAGACTACATCAGCGAAAATAAATCCTGTATCAGACGCACAGGCGCTGCATCTGGATACACGGTGTTCTTCCTCTGCGTCCCCTGCGTCCTGTCCGTCTGGTCTTGCCTTGCAACAGCCAGCCGCGTCCACTGAGTCCTACATTTTAACCGCCGGTTTGTCCCATCATCTGTGACACCTCCCACGTCCGGCTGTCCTGACGCCGTCTCCACTCACCTCCCACATTTCACTCTATTCCGGATGCCCGTATCTATACCTTCTTTCTCCATCCTATTGTAACGCATTCGGCGTATCTGCTTGTCTCAGGGTAGCAATATCGTGTTTTGATATCCGGCGTCCCCCTGTCTGGTTCACGCCGTCCTATCCTCTGGCATCTGGACTCGGTCCACATCTTTCCCGGGAGCTTCTACCTCACTGGGAACTCCTGATGCCGTACTTCTAGTTTAAGCATTTGGTCCTACTGATGTCAGGACTCTGTATCTTGTGTAAGCTTCCATTTGCTGCCACTCCATTCCCACTGTGAATGTTAGATCTCGATCAAGTTTATTTCCATTTTATGACTTCTGAATCTATCTACATTATGCTATCAATGGCAGGTTACAAATCCAAGAGCTTCCCGTTATGTGATATCTACGCCATAGTCCTCCTTCTCATCCTTCTCTTGCCGTAAGCGCCTAAGTCCCATATGTTGAATGCCATCAATTCCTAGGTGTCCCAGCCCCATGCCCATACTATGAGAACAGGATGTAAAGACCAGTTTTGGCTCTGCGCTGCATTGTGCTTCCCGTGAGATCAAATACTTGCTGAGCGATTTGCCAAATCGTTGAATATATTTCGTTAAACGTCCGTAAATCGATCCGACTATTAATAAGCCAGTGCTGTTCCATGTCCTGGATCAAGTGAGCCAAGCCGGTAATGGTGCCAATATCTACTATGGTAAATCTTCGGGCATCCTGCTTCAGTTGTACAGTAATGAGATTATGAAACTCAGATGGACATCCCGAGTTAACTACGCTCAGCAGTTGGACACATGCGAGTCGGTAAACCCTATTGCCCTGTGTGCAGTCTCAGAGTTTGAGGAGCGCCACAAGTTTCCCCAGCAGGCGTCCTCTTAGCGCACCATACATCTCCTCCCCACCAGTCTGTACCCAAACCCAATCATTGCGGCTTCCCTGTTTCCGGAATGGCTCGTCTCCTGTGGATCATGCCTGGTGTATGTTGTAAACATCGGTTTCCTGAAACACCGAAACAGCAATTTCAAGTTGTGTAAGGAGCTCAACAGGAAGATACCAGAGGACCGCAGGATCTTCTGGAAGCTGGCAGTCGAGGGGCAGGCCTTGACGGCTATATTGAATCAATTCCCCACAGAGGTTCTCAATTGAGATACCCAAGACGTTGCAAAAATCTGAAGCATTAGAAACATCAGCACGACGTCCTCTCAGGACCCTATGGCAGGTCGTGGGTACAGATAGTAGGCTCGACAGGTCCTATAGTTTACCAAGGTCAGCTGGGATGTGGGCCCTGTAACGTCATAGGAAATCTAAGTTTAGAAGCCGCATTCGGATTGAGTGTTGTTGGCCATAGCTGTTGAGTATCTGCCGTGCAGCATCATTTTTATTCGAGCATCACCATCCGTCTTTAATTTGTTCCTTATGGGCCAGCTCCCCAAACTTGGTAGAATACATTGGAATATTACTAAACCGGGTTACGTGATTGTAAAAGTAAGCGAGTAGATGCATCTTAATAAAATGGAACTGACTTTCCGTATGGATCAAGTCCAAATGCTGGTCGTCTTCAATCTCACGTTGCTGCACTCACGTCTGGAGCTGGTTGCATTTAGCGCGGGCTGGTGATTGAGCTATGGCTACTCTGCGTTGTTTTCTCCATTGCTCCTGAACTTTTGCTCCTGTGCGTTTTGATATCTGAAACTTGAGGAAAACATTCTTCGTCGCATGGAACTAGTTGAGATAATTTTGCATATAATCTAAAGTCTCCTGTGTATGACTTTGGTATTGCGCCATTAAACTGAAATCCAGTAAATATCTAACGCACGCCAGGGGGTGTTTGAAGAGCCCTACTTGTGTACTGTCGGGTTGTCTCAGCACCATGGCAAGCACTCCCAGAAGACAGCGACCCAGGTTCCTCATCTCCTTTCCTTGCCATTGCGTAACCTCGTGGTAGACTTTTTTCGGAACAAAGAATCCTGGATACGGTAGTAAAGCCTTCCTGGTGTCGTCGAAAGGTTGACTTCGTATGTGTTTCTTGAGAAATGATTGAACCCAGTCCATCATGTGCTTAAATAGTCCAAGGTAAACTATATGGAGCAAATCTGGTTTGTATAGATCGGGCGCTGAAACAAGTGAAAGCCCATGAAAGACGTTTCGTCCAATCTTGAGGCCAAGACCCTCAAAGGTGCTATTGATGTCGTCGGCAAAGAAAGTCTGTTTTATGATGCAGGCTTCTATGTTGTAGTCGTTCGTATGTCGCGTAATCCCTCGTAGGATAGCCGTTTTGTATCAAGGATCCTAACCTATCTGGAGGCACCTCGCACTTTGGGCAGGCATTGGATTTTACTCCATGTAGGGCCACATTTTCCATATGATCCGCCGTCCAAGCTGCCAATATAGGGAGGCACCTCCAGACTCTCCCATCTGCATAGTTGACCGGGACGCCCGCTTGTGCTGCATCTTACAAGGGCTCAAACATGAGCTGGAATACACCTTGTAGCGTATCCGCATTGATTTGTCGCTAGAGTTCATTTGCGGAAGTGGAGTTTGCCAGTTTGGGGGGCACAGGCAAGAGAGCGAGAAGGAGAACTGCCATTGATCCAGGTCGGTTATGCGTGGTTGAGGGCAGATTCCCAACTGTGATATATACCGGCCATGCCTTCTGGTCACCAGAGAAGTTGCTGAGGTGCGTCTGATCTGACATCCCAATAATGGGGATGACTGTGGCATGACGCGGAAGGGTGTCCTGAGATCTGTTAGCTTGAGCTCCCTTCAACAGTAGTTGGATAACAATGTGGCACTGTACTTGTATGTCCCACCACCAGTCTGCTGTATGCATTTCAGCGTATACCCTCTTACCGTTGGCATCATATTCACGACGCGGCACGTATACGAGATCATCGCTATATGTAATCTGGCGCAGAAGATATCTGACACAGTCCAGGACATTGCGATAGAAAAAGGGCAATCTTCTCGTGCCATCGTCAACTTAGCCTTCGAACCAGTGCAGATAAAGACTGTATGGATCTAATTGCCGAAGGCGGGCCTCTAATGTATACATCAAGGTAAAGCCTGCCGAGGCAGATGTGCCGAGACCCGTTGAAAAGTACTTGTTGATTCGTGACTTTGGGACTTTAGACTGAATAAACCAGGATGCGAGTTTGAACTCATCTGGCGTAGAGAATGGGGCCCATGGGTCCTCGGACAGATTATCGAGTTCTTCTTCAAATCCCTTCATGTCCGCAATTGATTGCCCAGTGCCTGGATAATCCGCTCGTTAAGTGGCTGATGAATAAACAGTATCAACATCGAGTGGCTCTGTTTCGGACTCACACGCACCATTTAATCTACCGGAATCAGATC